AGCGTGGACTGCAAGCACTGTAGTATACAGGTGATTAATAATACATTAATTGTGCTTAATTAACGAATCAATTAATTAATTAATCAATTAATTGATTGATTAATTAAGTGTTCACGTGGCTCAGGGCGAAAGTAGCTTGCCTTTCACCACTACAGTTCGATTTCAATTTAGATTTAGATTTATTTAGTAAAAAAACAACTGTATGCGACGTATGGGGGAGAAGATAACCTGCGCAAGTTTTCTTGAGTTACAGAATCCCTTCCCGTCATTTTAACTATAAATAATTAAAAGATGAGTAACAGTTTAAAATAAACAAACATTAATAAGTTTTAAAAAATCGGGAAAATAGCAATATTTGGAAGAAAATGACATTTTCGTTTCAGAGTTATAGAAAATTTATTTGCGAAAAAATATTAAACGAAATGCAAGTATGAGTTTTCTGCTTTGCTTACAAAATGGTAACTCGCCCTTACCACTTCTCCTACCATTACTAGCAAAAGGGGAGTTTAATAAAACGTGCGCATAGTGAAGCTACATTTACGTCCAGAAGCAAAACAAGGGGCCATCTCAGCATTTGTTCAATGTATCAGGGAAACTAGATAAACACCTGATCAAGATGGGGGTCATTGACCCGGAAGCTGAAGTACATTATTTTTTACCAACAAATTAAGTATTTAAAAAAAGTATACAATATGAATGTAAGCTAATTCAATATATATCACTGCTTTGTTAAAATAAGCATTAGTTTTCTTTTTTTAGATAATCAGTATAGTCTCTGATTATATAGAAACAGTTATGCAGCAGAAAAGATTTTACTTTTAACTTAAATTTGTGAACTAACTTCAATTGTTTAATGTCATCTGGCAAAGCGTTGTAAAGTAACGTACATGTATTGCATGTGGAGTTCTCATAGTGAGCTGTTGATACTGACACTTTAAGAAAGCAATATTTACGGCTTGTGTTGTAATTATAAACATCAGTATTACATGAAAATATGTTCCCACCGTTAAGTCACTTTTGACAAATATTACAGATTTGTAAATATATATTTTTTTCATTATTCGAATAATTTTAATTACAATCTAAAGATATGAGTACTAAATGATGAGTTTCCCCATAATTTTATGCCAAATCTCAGACGGGAATGTACTTCTGCAAAATACACGCAACGAGCTGCATGAAGGCTGACCGACTTTAAAAGAATTCTGAATGTGTAACACAATGAACGTATTTTAGTGTTTAATGTTGTTATATGTACATTCCATTTGAGATTTCACTGAATTGAGAGACCTAGAAATTTGTAACCTGAACATCAGCTAATTGCATATTGTTCATTTTCAATCGTGCATGGTATTGCTGATTTGAAATGAAAAAATGCATTGAAACTGTTCCGTTAACTTCTAATTGATATTCCCCAACAGTTAACTGATTACAAAACCAATTTGAATCTTCAGAAATCATACTATTTATTGTTTCTTTTTTGCAAAGAACACTCGTGTCATCGGCAAACAGAACCGTTCTTCCGTTTTTAATAGATGAGAGCACATTGTTTACGTATCACAGAAAGAGGATAAGATCTAAGACCGAACCTTGCGGGACCCCATATTCAATTGGTAAAGAATTGGAAAGATAAGTAAATTATTTCCTTTCGTGCGAGTGCGATATTTCTACTCTTTAATATCAACGTAGGTACGACGTTACCTAATCTAGGGCGATACCACGAATTCCATAAGAAGGTAATTTTGATAGCAAGATGTTATGGTCAATAAAGTGAAAAGCTTTTGAAAGATCTAAAAATATTCCAATGGGTGCTTCATTTTGGTCCATTGATGAAACAACATCTTTAAGAAAAGAAAAAATGGCAGTTTCTGCAGATTTCAATTTTTTTAAACAGTGTGAGAAAAGTTCCCATTTGCGTATAGAAAAGTCTCTCTAATGTTTTAGAGAAACCTGACAAAAGATAAATTGGTCGGTTATTTTGAATTTCATTTTTGCTCCCTTTTTTAAGAAGTGGCTTAATTTTTGCGCTTTTGAAAATATCTGGAAATATTCCTGTGCTAAAGAAGCATTGAAAATGTGAGTTAACGATGTATAAAGGCAGGTTCACAAGTTTTCAATAAACAATCCGGAAATTCATTTACACCAGAAGAATATTTATTTTTCTGACTATTCGTAAGATTTCTTTAGAACAAGTTTCGGAAATAAACATCGTGTCGAACATTTCTTGGGAAGGTAATGAAGTTGACTTTTGCGGTTTTAGTCCGTTCGTGAGTTCAGCCGCAATTCTAGAAAAATGTTGGTTGAAGAGATTTGACACTTTTTCCGAATTACTGGCTTCTCTTTCATTATCCTTTAAAACATCATTCTCTATTAAGTAACGAGCTGATGTGGTCGTATTTTTTACGATATTTCACATTGCGTTAGTTTTGAACTAGCTGTATCAATTTTTTGATTCCTAATGGTAGAACGGAAATATTACTTTAAGAGGAGAAAAACATCATTTCGAAAAATTTTCTAATAATAAGACCTTCAAATTTTGCGTTTACATTAATATATTAATGCCATCTTATTGAAAACGGCTCCAAATTTTCCAATGAAAATTGCCTTTTAGGACATTTTACTCTTATTATAATTCTTAAAGTAATATTTCGGTTCTACAGTTAGGGAACTGAAAAATTGAGAACATTTTGTAAAAAAAAAGTACTGTGGGCGACGATAAATGGCATCTAACTTGAGTTTGTGGCACGTTTGATTAACTAGACTAGACCAAAGAAAATAGAAAATTAATGCGAGAAAGTTTGTGCCAACCTGTAGCTTCACCAGTTTAAAGTAATTTGAAGCACTTTCACTCACAAATGCTAGAACTGTTTTTACAAATCGCTGGAAACGTGCACTTTAACGGCGTTGTGATATTTGAAAAAATACACTTGTGTAATTTTTGAAAAAAAAAGAATATTCCAGAATCAACTTTATGTCATATTAAACAGTGTAATTAGCAGTATCTGTTGGAAACATTGAAGAAACAAATTGGAGCAATTTTTTAGACAATGCGGTATTTTGATTTCATTTCTCAGAAACTTGTTGAATTTTCGAGACACTATAGGACATTATTTGAAACACATGTACTCATAAATACAATAAAGTTAACAAATCGCCACTAATGTAACGATGATAATAACGATGTGAGAGACAAGTCAAAAAATTAAATTTTTGTAATTTTTGAAAAAGTAGAGCCATTTGGCGTTTATGGTATCTTACAGAGTACATTCAGCATTATACCTATCAAACGTTTAAATAAATAATTTGGAGCCATTTTCAAGAAAATCTGGTTTTTGTTATTTTCAAAAACGCGCAAATTTCACGCAATATTGCGCGTAAACAACTAAAAGTTTAATGAAACTTATATGTCCTTAATTAAAAAACTAATTATGGAGAACAAATTTTATTTGCAGGAAAAATCTCAATCTTCAATATTGCAGTTGTAGGAAGTAGCCGAAAAAATCATACTTTTACAATTTTCGAAAAATTAAAATAACAGTGAAAAGCAGAACTATGTCATCTTTATAAGTGTAGTAAGCGAAGAATATCAAGTGAACGGTTTACGCATCGGCGTTGATCAAAACTGAACCAACAGACACACGTTCTGCTCCAATCCACTTTTGCGGCGTCAAGAGCCCACAAAACATGGATTATAACACAAAGAGTTAAAGAAAGTAATTCCCAAGATGTTCAGGAACAAGGCTCATCCACTTTTTCGTTTCGATGGCCTGACAATAAGAGTTTTTCTGTCGAAAAATAGCAGTTTTTACTTTCTCTATCTTATTTCGTAAGAAGAGAAAGTTTTGCAATCATGGGCCGGAAAATGAATTCCTAAAATCATTGAAATCCTTCCATTAGAGGAATGAAAAATTTGGAAAATGTGAAAAAATATATTTTAGGCGATAATGGTAACTCACAAGAGGATGGGGCAAAACGAAAAACAAGCTTACTCGCAAAATAATAGGTATATACAGGGAGATGTACGCAAAAATACTCGCAAGAGAATAGGTATATAAGAAAAGTATGTCATGTTGCGGCAAAAAGTGTGGTTTTCTGTCTGAAAACTCGTTTTATGGTTCCCCGACACCGTAAAAGAGGATTTTCTGTCCTTTATATCAAGTTTACTTTCTCTAACACGTAGCGTAGTCAAACCTCACATTTTGTGATTACTTAGTCTAATGCTGAAAAAGCGGCATTTTTCAAAATCTTTGTCCGTCTCATGATGAAGGGAGGGAGATAATGCGGCACAATTCATTTGTCTAACAGTGCTGACATCCACTGTACACTGGACACATTTTTCAGTCTTTCACGAACGTGAATGGGCATTTCAGATTTGAGAATTTGCGAATTCAATCACACAATCAGTCTCTTTCGAACATCAATGTCGGCCATTTTGCAAACGACTGCTATGCTGTCACATAATGACGGAGACAGTTATTGCGGGGGATTGTAGAAGTTGTTTTGAGGAATCGTGCCAAATTCAAATTTTTCACCTAACTAATTTTATTTGAGTAGACAAAAATAATAGGCATTACTTCATGACTATCAATTTCAACTAGACGAAATAAAAATAAATTCCTGTACTTAATATACTATTAAACATAACTACTACAGTTTTACTGTTTCGCCTTAAGAAGGAATTATTTAATTAAAACACGGAAACCATCGGAATATTTTATGTACGTGTGTGTGAAGAGGATGATTTCTATGGTCATCTCTGTGAGGTATCTGAGAGAATAGTCTTTGTGAAGGTGAAAGTAAAGACGATATCCACAAATAAATAAAATAAATACAGCGAAAAAGAATGAGTACAGTGCTTAATTTCTTATTTCTGCAAATTCTTACCTGTGAGTTGTGAGTATGACGCTATTGCCGGATTCTCTTATTTCCATCACGACATCCCACACTTGCCTCCTAATGCCCGGGTCCATCCCTGCTGTCGGCTCATCAAGGAACACCAAAGGAGGGTCGCCTATCAGAGCAATTGCTAAGCTCAACTTGCGTTTGTTGCCACCACTGCAAAGTGAAAATTATCACATCGTAGAAAACAAATTACACAAATAATCCAATACGTTGCCTAAAAACATTGTTTAGGCGGCGAAATTGTTGAAGAAAAGTTGTGAGAGCATTTTAATGGAAACTGCAACGGAGATATATTGGAAACTGCAAGAGTGTTCTCTTTCTAAACAAAATTAAACCTTTCCTTACGAATTCCGTGGCTTCTTGCTTATGTTACATGCTATATGTTACATGGTTATTATTTTAGTGATTTGTAATGTGTGTCGAATTGTTTTTAAAAATATACGCACTGGTTTTACCTAACGAGTGGTAATTGGGTATACTTTTTCACCCTCAAAAGATCCTGCTACCTGAGATTATAAAATCACGTTACGAGCATTAATTCTGCGTCTCCTCTGAGCTGCCTGAGTGGGTGATAGATAGGGGTGTAAAAAAATTATATATA